TCGGGGCCCCCGGGGCGCAGGTGGGGGCCGGCGCTATGGAGCCCCCGGCCGCCCCCTCGGAGAGGAGCTTGTCTCTGTCCCTGCCCGGGCCCCGGGAAGGCCAGGCTACCCTGAAGCCGCCCCCCCAGCACCTGTGGCGGCAGCCTAGGACCCCTATCCGGATCCAGCAGCGGGGCTACTCCGACAGCGCAGAGCGCGCGGAGCCCGAATGGTCGCCACACCGGCCCATAGAGCGCGCCGACGCCGTGGACACCAGCGACCGGCCGGGCTTGCGCACGTCCCGCATGTCCTGGCCCTCGTCCTTCCACGGCACTAGCAGCGGCGGCGCGGGTGGAGGCAGCTGCAAGCGGTAAGACCCTGGACTACCGACGCGCGCGGAGCGTAGAAGCGCGCAGACAGGGCGCGATTCGCCTCGCCAACCGCAGGGGGCGCTGCGACACGGGTGGGGTCATTGTGCCTGGCATGGAGGGGGTGATGGCTGGGGGTGGGGTGGGGTTGATTTACTGCGGGGGCGTCCGGGACAGAGTTCCTGGCGCGGCTCTGTGCTGGCTACTTCCCATGCAGCCAGTCCAGGAGTGAACTTAGAAGCGCTGCCTTACGTGTGGAATCAATGGGTTTCCGGGGGACTAGATGGTCAGTTGGTATCAGTACAGGGCGACTATAGACTGGGCAGTTCTTGGAGGGATCTTCCTGAAGGCATTTGAGCCTGGTTAGATTAACTGGGCTTATCATGCCTACTAGGACCACAATTTCTGCTCCAGGCCGGAGGGCCTCAATCTAGAGGTGCAAGACTGACCATATGGGGTTAAGGACATTAAGGGGCATCTTGCATGGACTCGCCGTTGGGGTCTGTAGGTTCTAAGGACAAGAGCTGCCTAGCTGTAGAGAACAGCGCAGAGGGGCCCAGGTCCAGCAAAGAATGTGGGGGGTTCCTGCCTCCTCTGAGGTGACAGTATTGTGTGTGTGTGTGTGTGTGTGTGTGTGTGTGTGTGTGTGTGTGTGTGTGTGTGAGAGAGAGAGAGAGATAATGTCTGGCTTCTGACCCACCTTAGTCTACCCGCCTCCCACCTTAGGCTCTGACTATGGGTGCGATGATTAGCTGTGGCAGACTCGATTGGGTGTTGGGCCTGGGCTTCTGTTGTTCTCTGGTTTTGACAGTGACATTGTGCCAATGTGAATGTGTATTCCAGGGACCCTGTGATTGTGATAAGGTGGCCTTGTGTATTCCTGGGGCAGTCATTGTGATAGCATGCTGGGGGGGCAGGGAGAGATGTAGGGGGCTGTGAGAGATTGTGTCCGTGGGACTGTCAGTGCTCTCTGGACCACTGGTTGGGACACTGTGACCATGCTGTCAGATGCCTGGGTGCCTATGTCTGGGGTCTGTGTTGTAGTCTGCAGGGTGCCCTCATGGCTGCTCTGGCTGCCTGCTGACAGGTGAGTGGGCTCTCTGACCTCCAAATGTCCCTTCCCACTCTCCCACAACCCGTTCCCTAGTTTCTGTCTCTGCTCCCTTGGTGCTTTAAGGCCTGACTGCTCTGGTGATGTATGACTGACAAGCTGGTCCAAGTGCTCTCTCTGCCTGACGCCCATGAGTACACCCCTCTGCTTGGGCCAACACTATGACAGTCTGATGGAAGCCTCTTACCCCCCCCTCCCCCCGAGTTCCTCTAGGCTGTGACCCACAATTCCTTGGAGGAAGAGAAGGGACTTTGCCTCTCTGGGCCTCAGGTCTTTTGGGAATCCTCCAGCAAACAACACAGTCCTCCCACCCACCCCCAGCCCCCACCAGAAAGCGAAAACGATGGGTCTGATACGTGCAGCTTGCTGTTTCCCAAGGGGGAACTTGAGAGAAGCTACAGGAAAATAAAGCTGGAATCAACAGGAAATGCCAAGACCAGGGCCTGCAGGCCAAACTGAAACAGGTCACTGTCCTGGGATGGGGGAGATGGGGGTGGGGCGCACTAGAAGCTGGGTCCCACCCCTTATGCAGGCCCCAGGAACATCTCCCTCCGGCCTCCTGGGGGGCCGACCCCATGGGGACAGTGGCTGAGTGAACATTGTTAGCATCCTTGGATTGAGTGGCATCCATCTCCTAATAGCTCACTCTGGGGCACCTTGCCAGGGACATTCTCATCCC